GGCTCTCCGGGATGGCTGGGCTGCCATCTGTGGCAGAGCAGGGACAGGAAGTTGGGGGCAGGTGGACAGCCCTCGCTCGCCCTGTGCAGGTGTGGAGGGGAGTCATCTCTTGGGCACTGGCTTGTGGGTTGGCCCCGGCATGTATGACTGCCCAGCAGTCTGGAGCAGGCAGGCCCTGTCTGCTCCTGGGGAGGGCCCTTCGTTGTCTGCTATCACGTGTACAGTGAATGTTGTTTCCTGCCGTCATCTCATGCCCACTGTGTCCTGAAGCCCCCCGGCCTCCAGGACTCCCAGACTTGGCCTGTCCGTTAAAAGGACCTGGGACAGCTCAGCTTGCTACAGTTGTTTAAAAGGCTGAGAAAGAGAGAGGTCTCCCACGTACTAAGGCTCCCAGCTGCCCACAGAGGCTGAGGCTGGACCAGGATAGAGCAGGAGGCTAGGGCCCCCTCTGGGTCTCCCATGCGGATGGTGGAAACTGTCACTGGCCTACTTGTCGCCTCCCAGGGGCCACGGGGCGCCGTGTTGAAAGGTAGTGCCAGGACTGCCCCAGGCAGAGCAGGGCGGAGTGTGGGGGTCAGGACTGCTTGCCAGTGACAGCACCTGACCTCTGAAGGGGCCTGCGCTCTGCTGGGCCATGGTCACTCTTGTACATGCAGTGTGCTGGGTCCTGAGCACTCCTGGCTCATGCGTGGACATCTGTGCCTGCGGTGTCTGCTCCATCGGCTGCCAGGTCTCCTGGGGTGCTTCGTCAGGTCGCTGGCTTCATTCAGTGCTGGTTCTTGAGCTTGAGCCTAGCAGAGTTCTCAGCCATCACCCAGACCCTGGACCCCAGAGCCTGTCCCTCTCCTTAGAGGCAGCCCCTCGTCAACGCGCCTGCAGTCCCCAGTGAGAGCTGCAGCTTTGACGGGTTGCTTTTTCTAATCACCTGCCTATCAGTTTGTGCCTCCATCTCCTTACCTACCTGCCTAACTATCTACTTATCCACTACCTGCCCAATCACTGCCTAACTACCTACTAACCTACTATACTACCTACCTACCCGTGTAACTACCTACTTATCTACTACCCACCCGGGATCCAGGGGTCAGTCCGGGCCACCTGCATGGCTGGCAGGGACCCCAACTCTTGGACCATGTGCTTCTGCCTGCCAGCCGCAGCAGGAGGGAACTGGTTGGAAGAGCAGCCGGGGCTGGAGCTCATGCTCGTGTTGCAGGCAGTAGCTTAGCCGGCTGTGCTACCAGCAGCCCTCCAGGTCTCCCTGACACAGGGCTCTCCCATGCTGCGCTCAGCCCGTGGAGGGGAAACGTGCAGGCTCTGCACTGAGCAGAGCTCACCTCTTGTGGCTGGGCATGTCCCGAGCAAGGTCTCACAGCAGTCAGGTTGTGGGGGTCTCCATGCTGGCTGAGGGCCTGCCTGCCCATGGGGGTGCAGGAAGTAGGGGGTTTTGGGCCACACAGGTGCCTGGAGTCCAGCTGGAAGGCTAGGCTGTGGTCTTGGTGATCACAAGGGACAGTGATGTGGCTGGATAAAGGAGAGGTTCCTCACCTGGTGGGCTGTGAGGTCTATTGCCTGTGCTTCCCCGGGGGCAGGCCTTCAGCTTTACCCGCCACGTGGGGGGCAGAGAAACCCTCAGCTTGCCTGCCCCGTCATATGCGTGTACCTGTAGCCTCACCCTGGGGAGCACACAGACCCAACATGACCTGTAGGCTGCCAGCCCCCGGGTCCAGGGGGGAGACGGGGCCCCTCGCCTGCCCCTTTACATGCATTTGCAACTACCTACTCCTTGTAGTTGTCTACCATGTGACAGCATGTGCTCAGCTCAGAAACCTGGGCAGGCTCTGGGAGCCCTACCCTGAGCCAGCTCTGATCATGGCATCCCAGGGAAGGTTTAGGGGGCACAAGGGCTTGGTGGCTTGACAGGCTAGGAGTACAAGGTGCCTGGGAAGGTGACCTCTTCTTTCCAGGCCCATCTGCAAGTGGCTCAAAGTCCTGCTGCCCTTCCCCTTGGCCTGTGGACCCTTGGGGGGGGGGGTGCCAGGAGGCGGGTTCTGGCAAAAATCTTCACATCTGCTGGCAGCCCTGGCTCCACCTGGTGAGCAGGGCCCAGGGGACAGCTCTGTGGGTGAGTGGTAGCAGGTGCTGGGAGGGGTTGTTCCCTTCCCCGCAGGGGCAGAGCGCCGAATGGCTGCTACAGACGGACGTGGCCTCTGGCGTCTGGCTACCACCCAGCAAAGCTCTGCCTGCCCTGGGTCCCCTCGCTCCCAGGCCAGTGGCCCGCCTAGACACAGGAGCTGCTCATTATCAGCAGCGAATGTGTCCAGATGAGGCTTGTGCACCGGAGAGCTGGCCGGCCTGGGTCTCTGCGGGCCAGGTCTGCCCCATGGCTGCTGCAGCACAAGCACACAGCCTTGCCAGCAGCAGTGTGGCATGTGGCTGGGCTGGGTGTAGGGTGCGGGGGATGCCTGGTCAGCTGCTGGCGTAAGTTGCACTTGCCCGTGGGCAGGCGTGCAGCCGTACACGAGATGGCTGCTGGAGACAAAAGGCCCATAGTTTCCCTCCTGACAGGGTGCACGGTCAGCGAATTTGGGGCCCCCAGATACGGCCTGGGAGGATTCTGCCTGTTAGCAGGAAGCTCTTGGAAGTGGGGTGTGGCATGATCAGGTGCCGTGGTGCCCACCAACCTCCCCATGGGGCGTGAAGTGGTGCTTTGGGCTTGTGTTTAAGGTGGATTGGTCTGAGTGAGAGCCCTTTGTCCGGTGGGATCTGCACGTTTCCTCCCACCCCTGCTGGGCCTCATGAGAACACTTCCCATGGAGCCGAGGCTAGGGTGTGTGGAATCCCTCTGCCCACATTCTGGTTGTCCATCTGAGTTGGCAGGACTTTGACTTGGGCTCTTCCCACCACAAACACCGCCTTCTGGGCCTTCCCATCTGACAGCAGTACAGAGCCCAGCTGGGACCTAAGTGGCTTGAGCTGGCTGCACATGTCACTGAGCCACGGCCACCTCCTAGTGACCCTCCCTGGCTGTTGTGGCCATCTGAGGATGACCACATCTCTTCCTGTCTGTACCTCTGCCCTTGAAAGCACAGTAATAGCAGGGACAAATCTTCCAGCTGCTGCTCCACCCCAAAAGCCTGTAACACCTAAGTCTGGGTCACCTGAAGTCGGGGACCAGGAGCCCCACCTGAGTCTCCATGTGGGTGTCAGGGCCAACGTGCACCTTAGGACGCTGGGTCAGACCAGAGCTTCCAGGACTGGAACATGGCTTGACCCAGTGGGGCGTTTCAGCAGGGGCTCCATTCACTGCCTGTGTCATTGGCTGCAGCCAAGGTGGCCTTGTGTCCATGGGTGTCGCAGGTCCTGGGGACTTACAGCCATCCCATGGCCTCCCTTCTGCCCACTTGCCAGGTCAACTACAGCCCAGAAATGACCTGGAAAATTCCAGAAACCAGCATTTCCTGAGTGTTCTTTGCATTGAAGTGAGAGCCCGTGCTGGCCAGCAACCCAGTTGTGCATGTGAGGCTTTGTTGCCACCGGCCTGTCTCACTGGGAAGGACGCCCCTGTGCACTGTCACGTGTCCCCAGCTGCTGGTCCCTGGGGTGGCAGGTGTTCCTGGCCGTGCTTAGTGCAGCTCTAGTTCCTCAGAGTTTCAGGGTGTGGCAGCTTTGATCTCTTCCTCTTGTCCTTTCTCCGCTTGATGACACGCAGCCTGGGGACTCTGGGAGTGAGGGAGCGTGCTCACTGCCCTGCAGACATGGTCCCGCGTGCATCCTGTGTCCTGTGAGTGCAGGTGACCAGATTGGCCCCTGAGGAGGACACCATGCTGGTGGGGCTTGTGTGCTGCACACACAGATGCAGCAAGCAGCACCCACTGCCTGCTGGCCTGGCCTCTCCCCTGGGAGCAACCCAGGGTCAGGCAGACTTCTGCACTCATGTTTCTCATTCCCATTGTTTAACCTGTTTGCCTGAAAGATTGGACTTGGTCACATTTAACTTTTTTTAAAAATTTATTTATTATTATTTTTTATTACAAAGATATACAGACAGGAGGAGAGACAGGGAGGAAGATCTTCTGTCTGATGATTCACTCCTCAAGTGAGTGCAACAGCTGGTACTGCGCCAATCCGAAGCTGGAAACCAGGAACCTCTTCCCAGTCTCCCATGCAGGTGCAGGGTCCCAAAGTTTTGGCCCGTCCTTGACTGCTTTCCCAGGCCACAAGCAGGGAGATGGATGGGAAGTGGAGCTGCCGGGACTAGAAGCAGCGCCCATATGGGATCCCGGCGTGTTCAAGGCAAGGACTTTAACCACTAGGCCATGCCCCCGGGGCCCAAGCTTTATATATATATATATATTTTTATATAAATATAAATATATATATTTATATATATAATATATATATTTATAAATATATATATATTTTATTGCATTTCATTTTATAACAACGTTTCATAGGCTCTGATGTTCCCCCATCCCCTCCTCGTGTCCTCCCCCCATGGTGGATTGCTCCACCTTATTGCAGTATTACAGTTCAAATCCAGTCTTGTTTCTTTCATTGCAAGCATGTGCCATGCATAGAGTCCAATATCTTATTGCCCAGCTGGATTCAACAGTTTCCTGGGGAGACCAACTCTGGTCTGAAGAAATAGCTGGCAGATTATCATTCCAACAATTAAAAGCCATAACATAACATCAACAACAGTTTCCAACATTATGGGATTAATTCACATTGCATTGAGTGACTGATAGGTTAGACAATGAGTTCTTAATCACATCCTGTGACTATTTCATTACACATTTAACTTAGAACTTGGAAAACACCGCCCTCAGGCCCTGCAGCCCCCAGGGATGGAAGTAGCCCTGGGCAGCTGGTAAAGATGGGGTGATCGCTCCCCAAGTATGGGGCCACCTGCTGTGCAGCCTGCTCTCCAGAGCCTGGGCTGGGCTCTTAGTCATCTGCAGCAGGCACCTGGCTGAGCCTGAGCCGGCTCTGCCTGGCAGGTTGTGCAGCCTGACCCTGAAGAAGCTGGTGGTCCTCCAGGAGCTGGAGAAGGAGCGCATCTCCGTGGTGATCGCTGTGAAGATGCAGGTGAGTGGCCGGCTGCATCCTTAGCCGCTGTGCCCAAGGTCCTGCCCAGACCCCACGCCACCAGGCACACAGCCCCTAGGTCCCCCATCCTGGCCCTCAAGGTCAACAGATCCTTTAGTCCCTGCCCAGACCCCACGCCACCAAGCACACAGCCCCCAGATCCCCCATCCCCGCCCTTAAGGTCAACAGACCCTTAAGTTCCTGCAGACTTTCCACCTCTTGCTGCTGAGCCCACCTGCTCTGTGCCTGGACCAGGGGAGACCCCCACTCCCTTGGACCCTATCCTTATCCATGACCGTTTAAGCCCATGCTTCCTCTCACCCCTGCCCCCACGGCGAGGTATCCAGATTGACTGGGGTCATGAGAAGCCAGGCCAGATAAGCCCCTATGGGGAGGGGACCAGATGCCTATGGAGATGGCGGGAGCGGGAGGGCGCACACCCCAGTGGAGATGGAGGGGAGGGAGGGAACAGACCCCTGTGGAAAGATGGGGTTCCTGTGTTGTCTCCTGCCTGCCTGTCCGCCCCCTCCCTTCTGTTGCTGTCTGCCCCCCCACCAGCTCGCACTCTTAGGGATCCAGTGAGCCTCTACCCAGGCCTCCCTGCTCCTGGGCGCACTTTTCTGGTTTGAGGGCTCCGTTCTTTGTGGCCTGTGCTGCGTGTTGCCCCTGTCCCATGCCAGCTTGCAGCTCTAGGGAGCCCCCTTCCTGCGGCCCCAATGGATGGGGAGCATCCCTCTGGGAATGGGCTTCAAGGAGGTGCTGTCTGATTTCCAGGGCTCCAAGCGGGTGCTGCGGTCTCACGAGATTGTGCTGCCCCCCAGCGGACAAGTGGAGACCGACCTGGCCCTGACCTTCTCCCTGCAGGTGGGTTGGTGGTTGCCTGGTCGCAGGCTTGGGTTCCCGGCTTGCTCTCTGGTCAAATGAGTTTCCACTCTACTTCCCTGGTCATAGATCAGGTGGACTCCTCCTGTGCTAAGAAAGCAGCGAGGGGTCCTGCCACGGGGCATTCTTAGCCTCAACACTGGGTTCTGCAGGGCAGCTCTGGCACCAGAGTTGGTGTGGGGTGAGGATTGGGCAGGTGGTCGGGGACTCCCTGGCTGTGTCCCCCAGCAGTGCCTCTGGCCTCTGCCCCCAGTACCCACACTTCCTGAAGAGAGAGGGCAACAAGCTTCAGGTGCTGCTGCAGCGCAGAAAGCGCTACAAGAACCGTACCATCCTGGGCTACAAGACGCTGGCCGCTGGCTCCATCAACATGGCCGAGGTGAGCGAGTGGCTCTGGGCTCCCCAAGACACATCCCTGGGACTCTCAGCAACTGACCCAGCCCCAGGAAGCCCCGCTGCTGGGGGCGTCAGGGCACCCATGGCCATGTCTGTGCCCACCAGGGATGGCTCCTATTGCTACCAAGCCTAGCCGCTGTGCTCCGGGAGTGGCCGCAGCCTTGGGTGTGGGTCACTGCTGGTCTAGGTTGAGTAGCAGTGAGAATGGTCACCATCCTAGAGGCTTCTCAGCCACAGGGATCACCAGAGCCCTGACCAGTAAGACCAGCCAGATATGGGGGTCCCAGGAGCCAGCTCCAAGGCCTGGAATCTGGAGAGGGTCACAGTGCAGTGAGACTCGCCCACTCCTGGGTTGCTCGAAAGGCCTGGTGGTTGGCCAGACCTGCATGCCCAGGCCCTCGGAACTGCTCTGGCTTCAGCCTGTGGGCCTCACCTGTTGGGAAGCGGCTCGTGTCCCCCCAGTTTTAGGGTAGGTGGTGGGGGTCCAGGTACACGTGTCCCTGCACACACCCAGGGCTGTGCAGGCATGGCTCACTTGGGTGCTGTGAGCAAGAAGGGGGTTATGGGGGAAGGAAGCTGTCCTGTTTCTTCTGACTCAACAAGTAGCAGCCATGTCAGGCCCTGAGGGCTCCATCCAAGCCTTCCACAACTTGGCCCAGGGACATGCTTCCTGGTCACTCTGCTCATGGTGGCCGAGTTGGCCCTGCCTCCCCCACTCAGCCCAGCACCCTGTTGCTCCTGTCTGCTGGTGCCCCCGCCCCACAGAGGTTCGGTTGAGGTCCGCCCTCTGGTCAACAGCAGGGGACGGCCCCCCGAAGTGGCTGCCCTGGACCTGTGCCCGCCAGGTGATGCAACTGCCCTCGGAGGGTGGCCAGGTGCTCAGCCTCTGCAGCAGCGTCAAAGAGGCCCTGGGCAAGGTGGCCGAGGTCTGGATTGTGTCCCTGTGCAGCCAGCCCATCGACTACGAGGATAGTGCCATGCAGGCCGGCCCCAAGGCCAAGTCCACAGGTGAGCATAGCTGTGCAGTGGGAACTTCGAGGCAAAGCCTCTTCTGCCCTGGGAGAGAGGACTGTCTGGGCTAGCCTGGACCCCATGGACCCAAGAACCCTGTGTGCTGGCACCATCAGCAGAGTTGCCAAGGGATCTGGCACAGCTGTCCTCAGCGGCCACCACTGTCACAATCGGAGGCACTGCCCCTCCCCCGCCCAGGCAGACATGCCAGGGTGAGGAGGAGGATCTGGCCAGCCTGTGTGACCCCTCCCTCCCTGCAGCTTGTCAGTGGGGACCTAGGGGAGGGCGTGGGGACTGCTGGGCAGCGGCTGGAACCTCAGAGTGAACCTTTGCACTCCCCGTGCAGACAACTACTCTGAGGAAGAGGATGACAGCTTTTCCTCGGAGCAGGAAGCCAGTGACGATGCTGTGCAGGGCCAGGTGACCCGGGTGGAGGGGCCGGGCCTGGCGCTTCCTGTCGGAGCTATGGCCTGGGCTGCCCTTGACCTTGGCGCCTGTCCCTGCAGGACTTGGATGAGGATGACTTCGACGTGGGCAAACCTAAACCGCCGCGGCGGACAGCAGTGAGAACGGCATCCATGACCAGGGTCGGTGCTGGCTGGGTGGGCTCCTGGAGCTCAGCTGCGGCCCCTGCCCCAGGTTCTGACAGATCCTGGCCAGTAGAAGCCGGAGTGGAAATGTCTGTGGATGGGCCCCATTGCCCCCTCCTCTCCTGCCTTCAACTCTTGCAGACTACAGGGGCTCCTAGATCCCATGCAGGTGGCCTAGGGATCTCTCATTGGGGCCAGCCTCAGCTTTGTGTGTCCATCCCTGACCAAGCCCACCTGGGCCTCTGGCCCTGGGACACAGTCAGGGCCGTCACTCTCCTCCAGAATGCAGGGGTAGGGACCACATCCACTCTCTGGACCCTACCTGGCACAGGCATGTAGTGAAGCCCCACTCGTACCCTGGGCGTGGCTGAGGCCACCCGCCCCGCCCCAACCTGTAGGATTTGGCTTAGGAACTGGACTGAGGCCCAGGGGCCGGCCACCCAGTTATGGGTGGAGTGGCTGAGAGCTGCAGGCCCCATAGTGCCCCTCCTTGGTGTGGGGCCAAACGCTGGGCTCCTGGTGCGTCTGCTCAGTGTGCTGTAGCGCCTGATAGGTTCTGATAGTATCATTGCCTTGCAGCAGCAGAACTTCAAGCAGAAGGTGGTGGCGCTGCTGCGAAGGTTTAAAGTCTCTGATGAGGTGAGTGGCCCCTGTGAACATGTAGTGGGACAGGATGGGTCTTCTGCCAGGTCTGTGATGTCACTGCACAGCATGTTGTAAATGGACTTTGGGAGTGACAGTGAGCAGAGAGCAGGTGGAGGCCCAGGGGCCCTGCCCAGTGGACGCCCCCGCCCCACGAGTACAGCCCGTTGGCACCTCATGAGAGGTTTCTGTTTTCCTTCCCCATCTCCAGATCCCCAAGATGAGTTTGTAACTGCAGTAACTGCAAAACTGTGGGGTGGAAGAGTTAGCTACTGCCCGTAGTCCAGACTGCTCCTCCCGTATGACACTGCTGCCTGAGGGCCCAGGGTCTGGGATTAGCCCCAGCACCAGCTGACAACTGCTCCTCCCCACCCAGTGTGGGCAGTGGCCCATGGGTGAGGCTCTCCCCACTGGATTGGGGGACCAGGCTCCCAGTCTTCTCCAGAGCTAGACAAATAGCCTGCTGGTCAGTGCCAACCCACCAGGGGGTTCTAAGTCCTAGGACAGAGCCTGTGACCTCAGGGTGGTGAGTGTCTTTCCTGGGCTCAGACAGTGTCACTTGGCTGCAACATCTGTGGGGTGGATGCCCTGCAACAGCCTCCCTACTGCCAGCACCGGCCCCTTCCTCCCGAGAGGCGGGCACCTCAGATGGGCAGGCCCCTGCTGCGAGGGTCCAGGTGCCTACAGATGCCGGCCTGTCCTCTTGCCCACCTGCTGGCTCTTGCAGCAGCCCTGGGCCACCCTCCGAGTGCCGTCCCTGGTGGGAGTTCTCACTGGGGGGTGTAGGGGAGATGCTAGCCAGGTACCCTGGCTGTTCTGGCTGCCCCAGGCTGCCCAGCTGTCCCAGCTGCCCCAGCTGCCCCTGGCTGCCCCAGCTGCTCAAGCTGCCCCAGGCTGCCCCAGCTGCTCCAGGGATAGCCTGACTTCGAGTGACTCGCTGGAGGTGGAACCACAGTGAATGGGCACTGGGCAGCTGAGTGTTAGAGCCTGTGGGAAGCTGGAAGGGGGAAGCTGCAGGCAGGGAGCCAAGCCCCAACAGGAAGTGGGATGCAGGCACTGCTGGTTTGTGAGGAAGATGGTATGTGGGGGCACAACCTAGTAGGAGAGCTCACTCCTGGAAGACAGGTGGAGTGGCACGGCTCAGCACATCGAGGTACTTGTATGTCTTGGAGTGACTCCCTGCAGAGTCACCCCATCCCAATCAGCCAGGCTCCCATGGTGGCTGGAGGCCTGAGGGGAGGGGCAGGAAGGCTCAACAGGAGTTGGCATCTGGCCTAAAAGCTTGAAGTGAGTGCAGGCCTGCCAGACCCTGCTGTCTTTCAACAGAGAGCCTGCCAAGTGACTGGGTCCAGGCTGAGCCCACAGCATGGGGAAGGCCCACTGGGACCACTGCATAGCTACAGTGAACCCAGATGCTGGAGCCCTCCTCACAGCACATCTCAGAACATCGTGTGCTGGGCTGGTGTCTAGCATGGGCGAGGGTGGACACAGCCACAGAGTGAATGTGGGAACTACAGGGTAGACACGGGCCACAGGATGGATGCAGAATGGATGCACGGCAGATGCAGGGAGCCCAAGGTGGGTGCAGGGTGAACACAGACGGATGCAAGGGCCACAGAGTGGCCGCAGGGGCCACAGGGTAGACACGATGTATGCAGAGACAACAGGGGCCGCAGGGTGGACACAGGGACCACAGGGTAGACACAGGGGTTGCAGGGTGGACACAAGGGCACAGGGTAGACACGGGCACAGGGTGGACACAGGGTCACAGGGTGGACACAGGGTCGCAGGGTGGACACAGGGGCCGCAGGGTGGTTGCAGGGGTCACAGGGTGGATGCAGGGGTCACAGGGTGGATGCAGGGGCCGCAGGGTGGACGCAGGGGCACAGGGTGGACACAGGGGCACAGGGTGGACGCAGGGGCACAGGGTGGACACAGGGGTCGCAGGGTGGACACAGGGCTGCAGGGTGGACGCAGGGGCACAGGGTGGGCACAGGGACCACAGGGTGGGCGCAGGGCCGCTCCATGGCCCAGCTCACAGGTGCCCGAGAAGGACTGTTGGGACAGCCTGGGGCAAGTGGCGCAGACTTGGTTGAAGGCCCGGACTGGGTCCATGGCCTGAATGACCTAGGACCCCAGCAAACATGCCAGCTACAGTGGCTGTGTCAGTGCAGGCAGCCTTGGGAGTGGTACCTTACTATACCTGGCGTCCCCACAGGTCCTGGACTCTGAGCAGGACCCCACAGAACATGTCCCCGAGGGGGAGGAAGACTTGGACCTTCTGTATGACACACTGGACATGGAGAACCCCAGCGACAGTGGCCCCGACATGGAGGATGATGACAGTGTCCTTAGCACCCCCAAGCCAAAGCTCAGGTGGGGCCATATGGGAGCCCTGGGTATAGCAGGCAGAGGTGACCTGTGGCCACTGCTCCCTCAGGTGGGGCCACGTGGGAACCAGGTTGGAGCATCTGGCCCTAGGTGCAGCAGGCAGAGGTGACCTGTGGCCACTGGTCCCTTAGGGGTCAATGGTAAACAGCCAGGCAGGTGCGTTGGGGGGAGGTCATGCTGAGTGTGGGGAGGGCCAGCCAGGTCTGCAAAATCTGTGGAGGGTGGTGGGTCCTGCAGTGGTCAGTGGCATAGCCCCAGGGGCCCATCTGCCTTCCAGAAAATTCTGCCTGGCATCTGCAGGGGACGTGGAGGTAGATGGCACCAGTCCTGCCAAGGCAATAGCTCAGGTTGGGAGGGCTGTGGCTGCATTTAGTCACAGGGCCCCTTCCCAAGGATGCAACAAACAGATGAACATGTATGGGGGATGCTGAGGAGCAGGCAGAGCCAAGGCTTAGTCCCAGTCTCATGGCGCTGTGCCAGGGGAGACCCCAGCTCCACCTAGCACTTGGGGTCTGGCTCAGGGAGGTCCAGCGGCAGCAGCCTAAGCGGGGAGGAAAAGTCGAATGAACTCAGGTGGGGAGAACTGAGTCTACCTCTGCCTCCACAGCCCCCTGAGGGACAGATGATGGCTTGGCACACTCTGCCATCCACTAGTTCATTCCACAGGCCCCCAATGGCCAGTGCTGCGCAAGCCAGAGCCAGGAGCCGGAGCCAGGAGCTCTGTTAGATCACCCATGAGGGTGCCAGGGCCCCTAGCTCTTGAGCCATATCCTGCTGTTTCTGGGATGTGTTAGTGGGAAGTTGGATCAGAACCTGGCAGCCAGGACTAGAGCTGGTGCTGAGTGTGGGTATCCAACTGTGGCTGAACCTGCTGTGCCGCTGTACGCTCAGACCTCTGTGATGGTCCTCTGGCAAGAGCTCAAGGGCCAAGCCAGTGTCGGGCAGCAGTGTGTCACATCCATGTCCCAGCTTCACCTTCTGATCTGATCTGCCACACTCACCCAGGAGGTGGCAGGTGGTGGCTCCTGTGCTTAAAGCCCCGCCAGCACTCACATGGGAAGCCCAGCTGCAGCCTCACTCAGCCCAGCCGCTGTGGGCGTCCAGGCAGTGAGCTCTCCCCTGCTCCTTGCCCCCCATCTCTCCTCTCTCTGTGTGTGTCTTGCTCTCACTGTCTCACCCTAAGGCCATCCCTCCTTCCCCATCTCTGTCCCTGAAATGAGGTGAACGTAGTCAATGTGGAGGCACTCACTCCCCAGGAGCTGGCGGGCAGCTGGGGATGTGGCCTCAGGGGAGGGCCTTGCACACAGTGTCCCTTCCCCGGCCAGGCCGTACTTTGAGGGCATGTCACACTCCAGCTCGCAGACCGAGGTGGGCAGCATCCACAGTGGCAGGAGTCACAAGGAGCCCCCCAGCCCGGTGAGTGGTACCCACAGCTTGAGCCTGGGCATGTCTGGGGAGTTCCCAGCACACATGCCCCAAGCAGCGTGCGTGGTGGAGACCTCAAAATTCCCACCCCGGCCCTTGACCAGCTCCTGCGGGCTCTAGCTCTCGCTGGCTGGGCCTGAGTCCTGTCACACACCCCAGGTTGACGTGCCTGAGAAGAGCTGCTCCCCAGGAGGCAAGCAACCCAGTGAAGGTGTCCCTGACCCCACGGCTCTTGTAAGTGACCTGCCCTTACCTGCAGGCCTTTACGGGGTAGCCCAGTGCAGGTGCCTCTGACCCCACAGCCCTTGAAAGCAAGCAGCCCTCACCTGAGCCCATGCTGGGCAGGTTCCAGCAGGTCATGCTGGTCTCCTGTGGCAGCTGGGCTCAGGGCCCTGGTCAGAGGCTGGGGTCAGTGGGCCCCTGAGGACAGCAGGCATCTGTGCTCACATCCCCTCTTGGCTGGCAGGGCATGCCAGACCCTCGGGAGCAGCCGGGGCAGACAGAGCACAGCCCCGAGCCCGAGACGCCAACCCTAGATGTGTTCACGGAGAAGCTGCCACCCTCCGGGAGGATCACCAAGACCGAGTCACTCGTCATCCCCTCCACCAGGTGGGCAGGACCGGCGGTGTCCCTCCTAAAGAGCTGCAGGGTTGGGGCTCATCCTGGTAGCTGTGGGTCAGTGTCACCTGCAGTACCCAGGCTCCATCCTTGAGTTATATTTAGACTCAGCATTGCTTCAGCTTGGCCTTCAGGACCAATGAGGCAAGGCGGTACCCACTCTGAAAGCCCATGGCCAAAATGAGAGCAGAACCCAGTGACAGGGCCTGGGAGATGACAGCCCAGCAACAGGGACCACAGCCAGCGATGGGGACGACACAGCCCAGCGACAGGGACTATAGCCAGTGACGGGGACAACACAGCCCAGCGACAGGGACCACAGCCAGCGACCGGGACAACACAGCCCAGCAACAGGGACGACACAGCCAGCAATGGGCACAACACAGCCAGCGACAGGGACAACACAGCCAGTGACGGGGACGACACAGCCAGCGACAGAGACGACACAACCCAGCAACAGGGACGATACAGCCAGTGATGGGCACGACACAGCCAGCGACAGGGACGACACAGCCCAGCAACGGACGACACAGCCAGCGACAGGGACCACAGCCAGTGACAAGATGAGGCTGGAAGTAGTGGGCCTGAGTGCTGGCATCAGCTGAGGGCACCCAATACTGGCTGTGTCTCTGATCCAGGATAAAAGGGGTACCAAGCCCACCTAGGACCCACAGTGCCCCACGCTGCCCTTGGAGGAGCTGAGCTGAGAGCAAGGTCCTCCCTGGCCACCTGGGCTGCTGCGTCCTTTCCAATCTGTCCCGGTCTCCGTAGGTCGGAAGTGAAACACACAGGCCGCCGGGGCAGGAGCACGTCATTGAAGGAGCGACAGCCAGCACGGCCACAGAGCGAGCGGGCCAACAGCTTGGACAGTGAACGCTGCCCAGACACGCGGAGCCAGCTGCAGGTGCAGGGACTGAGACGGTCTCCCAGGGCAGGGCAGGGTCCCAAGTACAAGGACAGAGACAGGTCACCAGGTCAGCCCTCCCTGCAGGGACAGGCACAGGTCACCAGGTCAGACCCTTTCTCCCTGCAGGCATGGGGGTGGCCAGCTTTCCCCCACGCCCCGCTGGCCAGGCTTCCTCTACAGGGCCTATTTGGCAGGTGTGTGTCCTCCCCATCAGATCCCCAGGAAGACTGTGTATGACCAGCTGAACCATATTCTAGTATCTGACGACCAGCTCCCGGAGAACATCATCCTGGTCAACACCTCCGACTGGCAGGGGCAGGTAGGGATGGGCAAGAGTGAGGCTTTTCCACATACACGCAGAAGCCCAGGGCCTCTCGTTGGGGTCCACAGAGATGTGGGGGTGAGGAGACGCCACCACTCCCCATACCACCTCGTGGGGTGGCATCGGCAGGCACTGCTGGGGCCCCACGCTGGAGCCGGACGCACCCAAGGTCTGAGGCTGCATGCTGAGGGTCCCGGATGTGCGCTGTGCCTAGTTCCTGTCGGACGTGCTGCGGAGGCACACGCTGCCCGTGGTGTGCACCTGTTCTGCCGCAGACGTGCAGGCTGCCTTCAGCACCATCGTCTCGCGGATCCAGCGATAGTGAGTGCCTGGGCCTGACTGTGCCCTGCCCTGTAGGTCCCCCAATCCAGGCCTGCTCCCTCTAGCCTGTCCCCAACAGCCTGTCCCTCACAGCCTGTCCCACACTGTCTGTTCCCCCACTGCCTGTCCCCAACAGCCTGTCCCCCTAGCCTGTTTTTTACAGCCTGTCCCCCTAACCTGTCCCTCACAGCCTATCCCCCTAGCCTGTTCCCAAATGCCTGTCCCCCCCCCGAGCCTGTCCTTCACAGCCTGTCCCCCTAACCTGTCCCTCACAGCCTGTCCCTCTAACCTGTCCTTCACAGCCTGTCCCCCCCAGCCTGTCCCTCACAGCCTGTCCCTCTAACCTGTCCTTCACAGCCTGTCCCCCCCAGCCTGTCCCTCACAGCCTGTCCCCCTAACCTGTCCCTCACAGCCTGTCCCTCACAGCCTGTCCCCCTAACCTATCCCTCACAGCCTGTCCCCCTAACCTGTCCCTCACAGCCTGTCCCCCTAACCTGTCCCTCACAGCCTGTCCCTCTAACCTGTCCCTCACAGCCTGTCCCCCTAACCTGTCCTTCACAGCCTGTCCCTCACAGCCTGTCCCTCTAACCTGTCCTTCACAGCCTGTCCCTTAGAGCCTGTTCCCTATAACCTGTTGCTCACAGCCTGGGTCTGCCTGTCCCCGTCCTGTGGGCCCCCACAGTCTTGGTCTGCTCCCCGTAACCCTTCCCCCACAGCCTGGTTTCATCACTGCCCAGGGGCTCCTGTGGAGGGGTAGGATGGAGTGGGGTTGGGTACAGTGCAGCCCCCTGAGGCTGTTCCCCCCCCCACCTGCCGGTCCAGCTGCAACTGCAACTCACAGCCCCCGACGCCTGTCAAGATTGCAGTGGCGGGCGCGCAGCACTACCTCAGCGCTGTCCTGCGACTCTTCGTGGAACAGCTGACCCATAAGACGCCCGACTGGCTGGGCTACATGCGTTTTCTGGTCATCCCCCTGGGTGAGACCCGTGAGGAAGCTGCCATGGAATGGATGGGTGGTGACCCAGGGTGATGTCATTGTTGCCCTGGCCTGGGCCTGTGGATGGGTCTACCTGGGAACTGATGCTCCAGCCACTGGTCCAGCATGCAGGGCTCGGTCCCATCTCCCTCCAGGGGCTGTGCAGGCCCTGGCTGGGGGAGCCCCCAGGAGCGGGGAGCCCCTTGGACACATGGTGATGGGTTTCTTTGCTTGCAGGCTCCCACCCTGTGGCCAGGTACCTAGGCTCTGTTGACCACCGCTACAACAACTTCTTCCAGGACCTGGCCTGGAGGGACCTGTTCAGCAAGCTGGAGGCCCAGGGTGCTGGTGAGGTCCCCCTCCCTGCCAAAGGGCTCCCTCTGCCATCTGAGCCAGAGCTGGGGGTGCGTGGGGCCGGTACAAGGCGGCACCAGGTGGTCCCCAGGGCCTGAACGGCAGGCCCGAGCGCTGTGGCCACCTCCTCTTGCAGTGCAGGACACTCCAGACATCGTGTCGCGCATTACGCAGTACATCTCTGGGGCCAACTGCGCCCACCAGCTGCCCATCGCGGAGGCCATGCTGACCTACAAGCAGAAGAGGTACTGGCATGGACTGGGCCGGGCAGGGGGCAAGGGACAAGAGGCAGAGCTTTGTGCGTGCTCAGGTCTTGAGGTGAAAAGTGAGCATGACCACTCGTGTACCCATCATGACCACTGGCGTGTCTGTGGCAACCACCCACGTGTCTGTGACGACCGCTGGCGTATCCATGACAACCGCCCATGTTCCCTGACCCAAAGCCTTGGAGAGGTGTGGCAGCACCTCTGCAGGGGCTGCCGTTCTAACCACATGCTTGCTGCCTTGTCCCTGACTTAGGGACAGGCTGCCTGGGCCATGGGGAGAACACAGGGGCAGGGCCTGGAGCCCTGGGCCACCTCTGCAGCCTCAGGCCACTGTCCCCATTGCATCTGACACAGTCTCTCTTCTCTCTCGGCTCCCTGGAAAGGAAAAAGCACTTTCATTTTGACTTTGCCCTGAGGTACGGCTCCTGAGCCTGCGCCCGCCCCCCCCCCCCCATCCACCCCCAGCTGGTCTGCAGGGCTTGTTTAGCAGGTGCCCCACTGCCCATAGCTGCCTCTCAGCTGCCCACAGGCCAGGCAGAGCTGGAGCTCCCTGACAGAGGGCACCCCAGGCCTGGCCCTTCACAGTGACCACCTTTCCACTCCCAAGAACGGAGTGACTATGGTCGGGTTTCCTGCAGGGGACTCTGGGACAAGGGTAGGAGGCTGAAGGGGACCACAGTGCTTGGTAGCCATACCATGAGCTGCCCATTGCCCTGAGGACAGTGTCCTTCTGGAGCCTGGTGCCCACAGCTAACAGGTGTACATGGCCTCTACCCAGGGACCCCAGACCGGAGGAAATGTCCAACTGCAGGGATAACCCACCCTGCAGTTCCTCTCTGCTGTCCCTGAGGGACCCAGGGCCTGCTAAACAAGTCCTTGTGGGCCCAGCAAGACGAGCTGCAGTCCTCCCTGCCACCATCCGAGGCACCGGAGCCTACAGCATGCACTGCCTGCGGGGCCGGCTATAGCTTCTCGTCTGAGCAGCTTCCTTCGAGACCCTGGCCCCATGCCCTCGCTGTGTTACAGTGGTGACACCGGCATCTCTGGGGTGGGGGTGGGGGAGCGGGGCCTGAAGGCCCAAGTATTGCTGCCACAGGAAACATGCTATCCCCCCAGTAGGGCACCCGTGCCCTAAAGATCGGGCATCCTCCTACCGTGGGTTGGCCCCGCCCAGTCCGCCTGTGTTGGTATGCAGGGTTCGCTGGTCCCAGCAGCTCCCCATAGCCTACACTGCCATGCCATGGTGTGTGACCCTGCAGGAGCCGGAGTCCTGCCTCTGTGCCCAGCCGGTGTCACCCCTGTTGCTGTGTCCAGTGCTGGGTGTCGTCTGCATGGCCCGGCTTCAGCTTGGCTTCCAGTCCTAGCCGCGGCTCCGTGCTGTGGCATTACCTCATTCCGGCCCAGTGCCGTGGCCATGGAGGCTGGGCAGTGGCCAGGTGGGCCTAGGAGGAGGAAAGACTCGCTTCTGTCTCCAGGCAGGGATCCTTGAAGAGGATGCGGACCCTGGGGGCTCATGCAGGCCGGCCCCAGCTGTGCACCCTGGGCTATCCCTTGCGAAGCTGCTCATGGCGCCTATAAGCACACTGGCATGAGCCTGCCCTTCCTGCTCTGGGCTGGGGTGTGGGGGACACTGACCTGGGGGCAGGGCTGGCTTTCTGACTGCAGACTGTGAAGGAGATGGAGCGGGGAGGCTGGAGGGAAGCTTCCCAGGTCACAGTGGGGGTCCTGTCTTAAAAGCCGGGCCCGGGGCCGGCAGGAGACCCTGCTCTGTGACCCACGCCCTGTGGCAGGAAGGCGCCTGATGACCCACAGGGCCATGTGACTGGCTAAGGACCACGTACACATTTTCATTTTATGTGTCACCCTGGGGCTTCCAAGGTCCTCTGTGATGACCGTGGGCAGCTCTTACAGCAGATTAGATAAGAGCCAAGTGCAGCCCAGGCCCCTGCTGCCATTCATTGGGCACTAAGACCCTGGCACTGCCTGTGTCCACTGCAGCACCATGGTGAAAAGCTGCTCAGAGGAAGCTGGCGTGCTCTGGCCGAACCTGCCATTGCTGACAAGGCCTCGGGCTCCCAGCTGCACACACAGCGGGAAGGCAGTGGGGCTGTGGGCAGCAGGCAGGTGTGAGGGGCCTGACTGCGGCCCTTCCTCTCCACCCACAGCCCTCCCAGCCCCATTGCAGGGGACCTGAGTGTGGGCTGAGGCTGGGCTGGACTGCTTCTTGGGTCCTGAGAGCGCTGTGCCCACCTTGGGTGCTGTGGCCCGAGCTGGGTGGCCCCACCCCACAGACGCCCTAAACATGTTCTTTCTGCTCCTAGCCCAGATGAAGAGTCCTCTCAAAAGTTCATTCCCTTTGTTGGGGTAAGTACTGGGCAGTTGCCTACAGGTGACACTCCTAAAATGTGCAATGCCCTGTGGGACCCTGGGCCATGGCTTTGCAGTTCTGCTGGCTGCCCTGTCCACGAGGGGTATCTGATGGTGCCAAGAAAGGAGCCTCATGCTGTGGATGCGAGGAGCCAGGTCCTTGACAGCTGGCGATGGGCGGGGTCCCTGGGGGTTGCCCCTCTCCCTATTGGTCCCTGCCCACATGACCCTGCCAAGTGGCCTCCCTCAGGCCTAGCTGTCTGCTGAGACCCACAGGGCCAAGGTTTCTATGCTGCACCCCTTGGGGAGGGAGAGCTCCCTGGGGCCACGACCGGTGCTCGTACTTGGCTCGCTTCACGCCAGCAGGGCTCTGCGATCCCACAGGCATCACGGAGCTGGACCTAAGGCTGAGCCTGGGCAGTGGGGTGGGCCAGCACACCTGTGGCCACAGCCAGTGTCCTGTTGCCTTCTAGGTCGTGAAGGTTGGCATAGTAGAGCCGTCCTCCGCCACCTCAGGTAACCCTGTAACCCTGACCCTGTCAAGGGTGCGAGGATGGCACTCGGGGACAGAGGGCCCTATCCCTCAAGTCAAGGAGACCGACCCAGCCCTAGGGCCCATGAGTGATGGCCCAGTGTGGCGGCCAGTCCGAGGAACGGGCTCCCCCACCCCTGGACCCCTGGTATCCAGGGTAGAGCCACCAGCAGGTGGGCTTACCAGCGCGCCATGGCCCCCACAGGCGACTCAGATGATGCAGCCCCCTCGGGCTCCGGCGTCCTGTCCTCAACCCCGCCGTCCACCTCTCCTGCTGCCAAGGAAGCCTCCCCAACACCCCCCTCCTCTCCGTCGGTGAGCGGGGGCCTGTCATCTTCCAGGTAAACAATGTTCCACCCACTCCGGCTGTCCACCTGCCGAAGGACAGGGCAAGCCAAGGCACCTCAGCGAGCATCACTGGCGGACATTGACCAGGAGGCATGGCAGGGGTCGTTGCACCAGGCCACCTCTCAGCCTGAGGCTGGGGCCTATGATGGACACCTGTGTGCCTGTCCCAGTGCCTGTGCCTGAGCTGTGGCCTCTCATGGTCACTCGCTGCCAGGTGTAGGTACCCCAGGAGGCAGCTGGCAGTGCCTAAGGACTTGAGTGGCACCCACATGGAAGACCTGGGTGGAGCTCCTGGCTGCTGACCATGACCTGGCCACAGCATGAGGGCATGGGGCAACCACTAGGAGACCTCTGTTAGCTCTGCCTTTCACATCAAAAGGGAGGCCAAAGGCGCCAGAGCCAGGCTTTGCAAGCAGTGCTGGGTGCTGGTTGCTCCCGCCCAGGCTCTGGGCTTCTGTGGCTACTGCTCATGCCAGTTGTGTGCCCAGCATCCTTTGCTCTAGGCCCTCCAGGCTCAGAAGGGCAGCTGGGGGACCAAGTGGGCACCAGTAGCTGCATGGGGGCTGCTGGCAGGACCGCATGTCCCAATCCCCACTCCTGACCACAGGCCAGGATAGGCTTTGGAGGCCCCAGAGGTGCCCACAAGGCGACCAGCTTCTGCTCTCCCAGCCAGGGCCTCGGCGCCGAGCTGATGGGGCTGCAGGTGGACTACTGGACAGCAGCCCAGCCCGCAGACAGGAAGAGAGACGCTAAGGACCTGCCTTCCGCCAAAAGCACGCTCAAGTGCACCTTCCGGTCCCTGCAGGTCAGCAGGCTGCCCAGCAGCGGGGAGGCCGCAGCCACGCCCACTATGTCCATGACTGTGGTCACCAAGGAGAAGAACAAGAAGGGTGAGGGGCAGCCTGTGGCAACTGTGAGGACAGCAGGACAGACCTGGCCCTGTGTGCTACAGCAGGGCACTTGGCATCCCAGGAGCTGGGGAAAGGGGCTGTGGTTGCCCTGCCCCGGGCTGAGGGGTTGGGGTGCAGTGGCTGCCTTGCCCCGGGCTGAAGGTTTGGGGTGCAGTGGCTATCCCACCCCAAATCTGGCCTGAGAGCAAACGCAACCATGCCCTTTCCTTCCCAGTGATGTTCTTGCCTAAGAAGACAAAGGACAAAGACTTGGAGTCCAAGAGCCAGTGCATTGAGGGCATCAGCCGGCTCATTTGCACAGCCAAGCACCAGCAGAATATGCTGCGGGGTGAGCACTGGGAGCTGGCCCCGGGTGCTCAGGGGGCGGGGCCAGGGGTGCTCAGGGGCTGTGTGGGGACCAGGTACTTGGGGGCGAGGCCGGGGCCAACCAAGGCCATTGTGTTGGCTATGAGGTGCGTGTCCCTTCTTGCAGGCTCTGCCCATCTGATGACAAGGGCTTCACAGCCAGCGGGTTTTAGGTGTGGTTTATAACCCCTGCTGTAGCCATAGCTGAGGCTGGCCCCAGAGCTCCCTTTGTGAGCTTCCTCAGGTGACCAGGGGCACAGCAGTCCTCTCGTGTTGGTTCAGGCTTCAGCAGAGGGCAGCTGACACCCGACGCCTGGGAATGAGTAGTGTGTGTCCAGGTTGGGGGAGCAGCAGGCAAGAAGTCAGGACCGGGGACCAAGCTCCTGCAGCCCTCTCCCCCCCCCCCCCCCGTGTCCCAAGGGGTGTCAGGCCCCCGGCTGGTGGTCAGTTGCCCCTTTCCGCAGTGCTCATCGACGGCGTAGAGTGCACCGATGTCAAGTTTTTCCAGCTGGCTGCCCAGTGGTCCTCCCACGTGAAGCACTTCCCCATCTGCATCTTTGGACACTCCAAGGCCCCCTTCTAGCCCCACCCACCTGCTAGCCCCACCCCGGAAGCCCAGACAGACCCCTGGGGTTGTCCTCAGTCAGCCAGGCAGGGGAGGCATGCTCTGGCCTTCCACAAGAGCTGAGCCTATGTCCGCTTTTTTAGCCTAGGACAGATGAGGCTCCTGGGCCAGAGGCGAGGTCAAGGGTGTGGCCGCTGCAATTCCCAATAAATTCAGCTAGGCGGTGCAGGTCCTGCAGGAACTGCAGTTTCTAATGCTTTTGGACACCTGCTCTAACGTGGCTGCCAAACACGCTGACCGTGGGGTACCCGTGGTCTGGACCATACTTTCCCCCAGGAGCTCCCCGCCCCTACCGCCTTCCGGCCATCCCCAGCCTGCCGCACTTGGACACGCTGCACCAGGCAAGTCCCAGAATCCAACCTGGGGAGCAGTGAGGAGCCAGCTGTGCCCACTGGCGCCTACCCTCACTCCCTCCAGCAGGGACCCTCCAGGGCCAGCCATGGACTCTTGAGTGGGTTTGGGCCCATGACCAGGGGTGTGTGTGTGTGCATGCGTGCGTGTGTGCACAGGACACATGGGCTGCAACTGCAGGTACAGCTAGGGCAGTGCGGACAGAGCCTCCAGGCTGCTTGGGGCAGAGCTGGGACCCCCTCTGCCTTCCCACATAGCACTCAAACTGTTCCCATCTCTCACACATACCTCCTGGATCTCGTCCCCACAAGCCCACCTCCCACCGTGGGGGCTGGGGTCGGAAGACAGCAGTGCAGGCCCCACCCTCCCTGGCACCTACTAGCTGGCTCTTCTGCATTGCGAGTGCTGGCTGCCTGGGACAGTCGTGACCTGGCAAGGCCCCTGAGCAGAGCCCCTTCCTCAGTTAACAAAATGCCCTCCACGACCTGAGACCAGCAAGCTGGGTGCTCCCTGGAGGATTGAGGTATAGGCAGTGGACACTGGGCCCCCATCCCTTGCTTCTGCACTGTTCTGGGGAATCAGGTCACAGAAGGAGCACATTGGGAACCCTGTGCTGGTCCCCCGAGCTGGACTGCCCACAGCACTCTGCCTACCTCACGCGGCAGCTGTGAGCCAACAGGGTGACTGACAGAACCGGGTGCAAGTGAGGAAGTTGCCAGGGCTTAGCCACCACTGCTACCTGCCACACCTCCCTCTCCCCCAGCCACTGGGCCTGTCCAGCTTCATCTGTGTTGGTCCCCTTGCCACTGGGCCTCCGAGCCAGGCTCCTGGGTGAGCTCTCACTGCCCAGTAGCCAGCAGTGACCCCTGACCTTGGCCAGGCTTCCCTGAGCCCAGACCTGCAGGCCTGATGTGCACCCTGGTGTCTGGGGTGTGAGTGTGGCTAGCGTGTGTGTGTGTGTGTGTGTGTTTTAATGGAATACAGGATTAATGTAAATAGTTTTGGGGGAACAGACTAATCTGTTATGAATGTGACCACATGGACTACTTTACGGTGCTGACGCTACACTAATAAACCCGGTGGGGCACTCCCGGAATCTCGTTCTCTGTGGTTCTTGGTGGGGGCCTGGCGAGAAGTCATAACTCAGGCCTGCACAGTCGCTAAAGGCCCCTGCAGACGGTCGGTAGGTGGTGCGCAGGTGGAGGCCCGAGCAGGTGCAATGACGGCTGGAGGCGGAGTCGGTGGGCGGAGCATCCCTGCGCGGCTCGCCCTCCGCAGCATCTGTCTGGTGCGCCCCGCAGCGCCCCGCGCGCGCGCTCCCACCCCTGCCCTCAGGCGGCGGTTCCTGAGCGCAGGGAGGGGTTCGAGGAAGCAGCTGGGGCGGGCCTCAGGTTCCTGCGGAAGGTGGAGGTAAGTTATCGGGGCTGGCGGCTAGCCCCTGGGCTTGGGGCAGGAGGGCAAAGAGGGCTGGTGGCTGTTTCAGTCTGGGACACTGTCCCCCAGTTTGGGACACTGGGGCCCTTTTTTCCTCAAGGTTTGATCCTGGGAGCCTCCCCCTCCCCCTACCGTGGCAGGGTCCCAGCAGTGCGGACCAGCGGGCTGATGGTGTTGGAGGTGGACGGCAGGAAGGTGCCCGCGATGAGCAAGAAGAGCGAAACGCGCCCCTCTGAGCCCAGGCAGCCTCTGGTCCCCACAGGCAGGACTACCGCCTGGGGCCCGTCTGGGGCACAGAGTGGGGTGCAGCAGGGCCTGCAGGCGCAAGACTGGGTAAGCACAGCTGAGGGCAGGGGAGTGACAAGAGTCTGGTAGGGCAGGGGACACAATAGAGGACACTGCAGGGGACAGAAGACAGAGGACACAACAGGACACCACAGAGCACAGCAAAGGACACGGGACACAGCAGGGAACACAGAGGACACAGGACACCACAGAGCACAGCAAAGGACACGGGACACAGCAGGGGACACAGAGGACACAGGACACCGCAGAGCACAGCAAAGGACACGGGACACAACAGAGGACACAGCAGGAGACAGGACACCACAGGGGACACAGAGGACACCGCAGAGGACACGGGACACAACAGAGGACACTGCAAAAGACAGGACACCACAGAGGACAGCAAAGGACACGGGACACAGGACACTGCAGGGGACACAGAGGGCACAGCAGAGGACACGGGACACAGCAGAGGACACAGAGGACACAGGACACCACAGAGGACAGCAAAGGACACGGGACACAGGACACTGCAGGGGACACAGAGGACACAGGACACAGCAGCCTCCCATCCCGGAGTGGTCAGTGGGAAGACAGTCTTGCAGGCACCCACTGCCCACCCCACCTGGAGCCCTGGACAGGAGCAGCATGCCTGTATCGGACGTGGGGAAACTTGGCCTTCAGGGGGTTCCAGGGTATGCAGGGCTGGAGCTCTGGGATTTCCTGGTGCCTGGGCCAGAGCTGCCACCTGGGCTGCAGTGAGCACAGGGCCTCTCCTGGTCTGAGTGCCACGTCTCCAGAGTCAGAGCACCACTTAATAGCCTCCAGACACGGCTGTGCATGGTGTCCCCTGGCCAGGTACTCAGATGCCACCATGGTCAGTTCGTGGCAACCGCAGTCCCCAACCATGCCCAAGAGCTGCACTACGTGCTATGTCCACCCTTCGCCCCCAGGCACCCTAGACCAGGGTGCCCCCGTGCCCGTCCTCAGCAGCAGAGGGGGCTGGAGGAGAGGTGGGCTCAGAACAGGCCTTGGAGGGAAAGTGATGGCTTGTATGTGGGGGTGGCCACAGGTGGGCCAAGCAGGACGTGATCCAGGCTGGGTCCCTGACTGCCAGGCCCAGCTGGGGGCTCCACTAGGCGTCATTCTTTGAAATGCCAACCAGCAGTTGAAGTCTGCAGGTGGTGGGCAGTGGGCACTTGTGGGGTGGGAGAGGTGGAGGGGCCAGATGCTGAGGAAGCCTCCTGGGTCACGTCCTGCATCTTCCAGCTGCCCGCTCACAGGTGGCTGGGAACCGCTAGGCCAAGTCCCTTGCACAGGGAATAGCAGGGACAGCACTGGTTGTGACCCCACCTTGTAGCCTACTGAGGACTGCCTGGCTCCACCCAGCATCAAGTCCCCAAGGTGCCCTCTGGCTGTGTTCCCTCCTTCTCAGCACCCCAGGGTGCCCTGTGTGCTTGCTCACCCGATCCATGAGCACTTGGGCTGCCCTGAGTGTGGCTCCTGTGCTGGCCCATGGTGAGCACTCGCCATCCTTGAGACCCCCGACGTCAACACTTCTGTGATGCCCAGACGTGTTAGGGACCCAGGCCTCCTTCTCTCCCTCCCTCCCGGCACTTGTTCTGTAACCCTGTGAGCCTTGCTTCCCCCACCCCGAACCCCCTAGGCTCCGCGTGAAACTGACCCAAGTCCCACCACTCACACCCCCCGTTTCCAGGCTCAACCGCCTGGCCCTCTAGCATTCGCCATACTGGGGTGGGGGACGGGCGCGGGACCCCTGCCCTGTCCCCGCAGGTGTGCGAGCCGCAGCAGCGCGGGCGCCCGAGCCGCCACTGGAGCGTGAGCATCGACGAGCGCCGACAGCTGGCCGTGCTGGGCGCGCGGGAGCGGCCCGACGCGGCCAGGAGCTCCTCTCACTGCTCGGTGCGCGGGGCGCTGCCTGGGGCCGCCCGCCCCTCCCCTGCCTCGCGCCTGCCTGAGCCCACTGCCACCCGCAGGACATCGCGCACACGGTAGCTGAACTGGTGTCAGATAATGTGGACAGGGACGTGCTGCTCCCCCACCCGCCGCAGTCCGCCGCATCCAACCACGCCTTCCACGCGTTCCTGACCCGGAGTGCACCCTTCTGGCAGAACGCCAAGATGGAAGCCCGGAGCCCGCAGACGCCCCCCTCCTAAGAGCCCGCTCAGCCCAGCTTCTGGCGTCCAGCTCCTTTCCTTGGGGGCCCCCGGGGTGAGGAGCAGTGAGCAGGCCCCCGGAGGACCTGCCCGCCTGCCCGCAAGTGCCGACCGTGAGGTCGGGTGGCCTCCCGAGGCCTGAGTGGGCACACCGTGTGTAGGTGCCGGCTCTGGGGGGCTGTTGAGCTCAGGGTCCCCGGAGACGTAGGGAGGCTTCCTGCAGAAGGTCAGGGCTTGCCCCGACCGCCTGTGCAAGTGCTGGTGGACAGGGGCCGGCCAGGCTCCTGAGCTGCAGGTGAGAGGGACATCAGAATGGGGAATGGGGGAAGGGCAGTGAGGGAGTCAGTGCCCAGAGCAGCCTCCTCGGGACCCCCTGCCCGCCTGGCTCCCTGCCAAGGCCCTCAGCCACTGGCCCTGGTCCCTGGATTCCCAGCACCCCAGGAGCAGTCCCTATTACTGACTTGGTGGGCCCATCTCCCCAGGAAGCCTTCAAGGTCACTGCTGGCACCTCCCTGGGTCGTGGAGCCACAGGGACTGTAAGAAACCCGTCAGGAGACCCACGAATCTTGGCTCAGAACCCACTGATGTGGGGAGCACACTGGGCCTGCTGAGTGCTGTGTGGGTCTGCTGCCAGACCCACTTGGGTGTCCCCTGAAACTGTCCCCAGTGGAGCTCACTGGGATGGCCAGCCTGACCCTCAGACCCCTGGCCATTGCAATGGCTGTGAGGCCAGCCCTCCTCCTTGGGAAATGGGCCTTGCCTCTGAAACGCCAGCCAACACCAGTGCACGTGTGTGCTGGCAGACAGCTGTGAAAGCACAGCTGGATTTTCATCTGTTCCCATGATGAGGTCCCCTAAAGTCCCACATGGGTCACCCCAGGTCAAGTTGAAGGTGCAAGCAGGACTGCCTTGGGGTAGGCTCCTGCAGCATTCCTGGCTTGATCCCCAGCTGTGGGCAGGCCCAACCCTTTCCTACCGTAGTACCCTCTGACCCCAGTTGGGCCGACCCTGATGTCAACTTGAGGTCTGCTTGGGTGTGTTGCCCAGTACATACAGGCTCTGGACATTGTCCTGGGTCTCTCCTGTCAGTGGTACCTGACAGAGAACTTCTGGGAGTGACCCCAGGACAGAGGGGGTGGATGCCCATGAAGGATGACACATCACACAGGTGGGACTATCCCAGGCTGTGCAAAAAGGGGAATAAGGGACCCGGGCAAGTCGGCCTCGGAGTGGGTGTGGGGACCCTGCTGCCATAGCACCTTGTGGTGAGAATGTCACCTCTGCTGCCCCTGCTGGGGATGCTACTGTATGGCCACAGGGCACCTGGGGCCAGTCAGCTCTGTGGCTCCTCTTCCAGCAGGTGCACTGAGGTGGGCGTCACAGTCCCCAGCTGAGAGCCCTGGAACCACTACTCCTGTAGTCTCGTTGCAAGTAACTGTCAGCTTTACAGAAATATTGGCCTGCTGACGCTGCAAAAAGTGGTTTGTGTGTGACCAACATGTAGAGGCAGAGGGCCCAGTCTCTTCTGCGAGGCTAGCATTACACATGGGCACCAGTCTCCACTGCCCTCACTTGCAACTCAGCTCCCAGCTGATGCACCTGGGAAAGCAGAAGGCAGCCCAAGTGCCTTCACTCCTGCTGCCCATGAGGGTGACCAAGGGGGACAGTTCCAGACACCCAACTTGCGCCTAGCTGAGCCTCAGCCCTAGGCCATTGAGGTATGAACTATGTGTGGGACCTCGGCCCCGGCCATTGAGGTGTGAGCCTTGAGTGGGACACCTCTGTGTAACTTTGCCTTTCAAATCTTTCCAACAAATGAGTGTGAAAGCAACTCCCAATGTGGTCATGAAAGTGACTTCCATAGATCACTCCAGATGTTCTGGAGCACGCAAAGGTGAGGGGATTTTTGAAACATGGAGAGAGTGGACAATAGCTACTCTTGAAGCTTAGAATATTGGGGAAACCCCACTGAGGTTGGATGCGGGATTCTTTACCCTGAGGGTTTTTTTTTTTAAGATTTATTTTTATTATTATTATTTTTTTATTGGAAAGGCGGATATACAGAGAGGAGAGACAGAGAGGAAGATCTTCCGTCCGATGATTCACTCCCCAAGTGAGCGCAACGGCCAGTGCTATGCCGATCCGAAGCCAGGAGACTCTTCCGGGTCTCCCACGCGGATGCAGGGTCCCAAAGCCTTGG